TGAAATTGTCATATTAATTTTTGTGAAATTGGCCAAATTGCAAATTTCTGACCACATTATTGGGTAGTTGAAATTGGTAAATGGGCAGTTTCTTGTACTCAATCGATAGAAAAAATGGAGTTCTAAAGAAATAGCTATGAGTTTGGTTGACTGGAACAACGGAATTAGCCAAAAATAGGGCTCAAAGTGGGCAAAATCGCCGATTTGTAAATATTGCCGAGGTCACTAACTTCATGAGAGCATAATTCCGTCAGTTTTCCATCAAATTTCGTTTTTTTGGTGTGATTACAATCGTGAAAAGATTCTCTATCATTTCATAAGAAAAATAATTTTTTTTTTTTTTTTAATTTTGCAACACCAGGAGACATCTCAGGATTGGGGGTTGTGACAGTCAAGGGGTTAACATAGAAACATGATATGTACACTAGAATGAATAAAATGCATGTCATTACGTATGTGGCTAGTGGTGGTAACAAAGGCCATTGTTGTTGGTGGGGTTTATAGGGCCACCACAGTGGCCATTCTTGCTCCTGACTATATGTGTAGAGAACCTAGGATAACCCAAAAAAGTCAGACTGACTTATAATTGCTACACTCTTAATGCCACACTTAATTGCTACACTCTTAATGCTACACTTTGTCACTGACTCCTCCTGCGAAATAGCGAGGGTCACTCCGATCCATAAAGGAGGTGACCAAGCTGACTTGAATAACTATAGACCAATATTTAACTTACCACTGCTCTCTCAAATCTTTGAAAAATTAATTCATAGACGGATCTATTCCTACCTCATTTCACACAATATATTAAACCCTTGTCAGTTTGGTTTCAGGAATAATAAAAGCACAAATGACGCTATCATACACATACTAGAACTAATATATACCGCACTCGAAAAGAAAGAAGTCCCGCTGGGCATTTTCATTGATTTACGTAAAGCTTTTGATACAGTCGACCACGAACTACTGTACTCCAAATTAATGCACTACGGTATCAGAGGCCACTCCCTCAACTACCTAAAGTCATACCTTAGTAACAGAACTCAATATGTGTGTGCAAATGATGCAAACTCCTCCACCCAACCAATCACAGTAGGAGTCCCACAAGGAAGCGTCCTTGGACCACTCCTCTTTCTCATCTACATCAATGATCTACCGAATGCATCACAGCTACTCAAACCCATATTATTTGCAGATGACACTACATATGTATTTTCCCACCCAAACACAGTCATACTAGCAAACACAGTCAATGCTGAATTACAGAAAATATCTACCTGGATGATGACTAACAAACTTACCCTGAACACTGATAAAACCTATTTCATTCAGTTTGGAAACAAAGCTGCAAATGATCCAATTAACATTACGCTAAATGGATCACCAGTCACAAGACTCACAGAGGGAAAATTCCTAGGTATCCACCTTGACACATATACATATACAACAAATCACCAGGAAAATCTCCAAGACTGTAGGCATACTATCAAAGATAAGGTACTACGTTCCACAATCAGCTCTCCTGGCACTGTACCATTCACTCATATACCCTTATCTTACATATGGAATTTGTGCATGGGGATCAACATCAAATCACCTAAAACCCCTAATAACCCAGCAAAAGGCAGCAGTAAGAATGATAACAAATTCCCACTCCCGCCAGCATACTCCACCAATTTTCAAAAGTCTGAATCTGCTTACCATTAAGAACATCCATACTTATTCATGTGCCTACTACATACACAGAACAATACACATAAATATAAACCCCCCACTCAAACTTTTCCTCACCAACCTAAACAGGACACATGACCACAACACAAGACACAGATCTCTTTTTGATATACCTCGTGTCCATTCATTACCAGAATATATTAAAGTAACCCAGCTGAAAATCAATTTAAGACTCTTCTCAAAAGCCTCTTAATCACCCTAGACTAAATGCTAAATACTCAGTATACATTTACTCACCTATTTACTCCCACATCATAACTGAAACAATCACATTGAACCTTTTATCCATTGTTGACAGGAATATAATTGAATCATTGTTTTCACAAAAGCATTTGAGAATATAAATATATCTTTGTATTATACAAATTTTGATTCATTTATAATTAATATTCTACTGTACAACTATGAAATAATTACTATCCTACTGTACAACTATGATATACTGCGTAGTATTAAGTAGAATGTAAGCCAATAATGTTAAGTTGGCCCATAATGCCAAGGCATAATAGAGGCTCTCTTTGCATTGCAACCCACTATTGTATATACACAATCTCAATGTACTGTTTGCAAAGACATTAAATAAATAAATAAATAAATCGTAGTAGTGGTATGCTGGTACTGCCTTACCAAGTCCTTAACCCTCCACCTAGTTTGTTTGTCCATGATTTCCTGTTTTAATTTCATGGAAATCATCCTCTTTTTCTTCTCAGCACTGTCCTTTGCACTTGCTTTCTTAGGACCCATGGTTAGAAACAAGAAATTTTGCAAAATAACTGCACGAAATGTAAGGAAAACACGAGAATTCTCTCCACCGCGAGTGGAGTGGACTGAGCATTGTGTTGATACTGCCATCTCATGGTGGCGTTCGGAAACTCACTTATAGTATAGGGTGCAACAAGGCCTGCCACTGCTGTTTCGTGTTGTCTGCCACTGCTGCTTCATGTTGTCTGCCACTGCTGCTTCATGTTGTCTGCCACTGCTACCTCATGTTGTCTGCCACTGCTGCTTCATGATGTCTGCCACTGCTGCTTCATGATGTCTGCCACTGCTGCTTCATGATGTCTGCCACTGCTACCTCATGATGTCTGCTCCTACTTTTGCTAGTGTGTTGAAGAGCTTTCTAATATGTGAAGGTTGAGGGGCAGTGACAATTGGACAAGTATTGGATGGTGACATAATTTGTTTACTGTTGAACATCGCCAAAGGATTGAACATTTCTGCTACTTTGAGCTCAGTTTCAAGGTACTTTTCGTCGAGAAACTAATAAAAATCATACCTATTTCTGTAGTATATCATCCATTCTATCATTATTTTTTTTATTAACACATTGGCCGATTCCCACCAAGGCAGGTTGGCCCGAAAAAGACCCAAAAAAACGAGAATACAACCATAAAAACCATACAAAAATATACCGCTAAGGGGAGGCCAATGACTGAGAGGTGAACTTCGTTATTTGTGGTACGATTTCTTTCATTTTTGGTGTACGTTAAGAAGCATCTTTCCATCATACATTGCCCAAGTTTCAATAAGATAGTCCAACAAACAACTGAGATCCAATTCCCTAGCCCAAGAGCAAGAGCCCCTCACCAGCATCCAAGAACCTCCCTTGAGGCCCGCTCATATCTGGAAATTTCACTCGCATCTGGAAGCAAAAAATCAACCGAGCAACTGCTTGTACCTGGAAAAACTTGCACGTGGATGAACTCGTAAGTAGAGGTTCCACTGTCAACACACTGGCCATCTCCCACTGAGGCGGGTGACCCAAAAAAAAAAAAAAACCACTTTCACCATCACTCCATGATTATCTTGCCAGAGGCAAGACAATCATGGAATGCTTTCCACCTCCAGTACTCAAGTTTGGCTAATCAGTTTCCCTATATCCCTTCATAAATGTTACCTTTCTCACATTCCAACATCACGTCAAGTTATAAAAACCACTTGCCTTTACATGCTCCTGTCTAACATGCTCACACATGCCTGCTGGATGTCCAAACCCCTGGCTCATACATGTATTGCCCTCCTTCCTCTGTTGTGCTTTCATCTGATGAGGACTCCAGTTGAGAGTCAAAACATAGTTTCATTGCCACTGCTGTTTTCTTGTCAACAAGTGTTCATTACACTTTTTTTTTTTTCTACAACGCTGGCTGTCTCCCACCAAGGCAGGGTGACCCAAAAAAGAAACACACTTTCACCATCATTCACACATAATCACTGTTTTTGCAGAAGTGTGCAGATATGACAGGGCAGATGTCACTCCTAACAGCAAATATCCCAAACCCCTCCTTTAAAGTGCAGGTATTGTAGTTCCCACCTCCAGGACTCAAATCTGGCTAACCAGTTTCCCTGAATCCCTTCACAAAATATTACCCTACTCACATTCCAACAACTCATCAAGTCCCAAAAACCATTCATCTTCACTCACTACTTTCTAACAGCCTCACACATGCCTGCTGTATGTCCAAGCCCCTTGCACATAAAATCTCTTTTTACCCCTTTCCCTCCATCCTTTCATTACATTACACTTATATCATCATTATATTTTTTTAATTTGTTTGCAAAGTATTGTCAGTACTTTCATTTACTGGTGTACCCATTTTAAATATTGGGCCTATAAAATTTTTGTTCACATTTTGACTGTGAGGATCCAAATAATGTACTGCCACCAGTAGTGAGGAAGAGGCACACACATTGCATAACAAGCTTTCATTGAAATATTTTGCTCACTGTTGGAGCTTTGTCATCTCTCACCAGATCAAAATGTTGTTATAATAAAAGCTTCACCAGCAGTATATGTCTTGTCTTTACTTCAGCTGTGATGTTGATACTCATTTTAGCTGGGCACATTTTCTGCAGATACACATACAGCCTAATTTCCCACCAGGAGAGGTAAACATTCAAATTTGAGCATTTCCTATTTTTTTCTCTGTCATTCCATTGTCAGATGAATCATGGCCCGTTTCTTTAATATTTTATTTGTGATTAATATACATTTTTGATTAGTTTATGTGAACTACTGCTAACCCAACCCAATCTAACTTAAAATTAATTTAGCCTAACTTCAGATAAAGAAAACACCATGTGGAGAAAAACAGGAAATGTTTCATAACTGATGTTGATCGAAACCTCACAAACTGATGCTTTAAAACAGGAATGGATTAATACACACTTCTCTTCTATGTATATCTTCAGTTTGTTTCTGTCATACCTGTGATCTTGATCTCTACCTCTGTCTAGCTTGCCAAAACACATTTTTTAATTTGTTTCAGTTAAGTGCTGGTGAAATGCGAATCCAGCAACTTACAACACTTTTGCACGAGTCAGAAGCAGAAAATGCCAAATTAACACAACTCTCGGATGCTCTAAAAGAAGAAATACGAAGGTCTGTGAGAAATGAAGTTCGTGAAAAGCACATGGAAAACACCGAGTACATGAAAAATGTGATACTAAAGGTTAGTAACTAAGTGTTTTATTAGGTTTGAAATCATCAAAGAAATAAATGTGTAATTAAAGTATTGTGAATCATTAGGTTTACTTAATACAGTACAGAATTATGGAATCAGACACATCAGAAACAGGAGCTTTCCAATACTATCAAATAAAGCCTCTCCTCCCTTAGCGACATAATCGTTTACCAACAACACAGACTTATGGTGGGCTTTCTAACCAGTATGTATACCTAAATAATGTACAGTAGACCCTTGTATTACACAGATTTATTTGGCACGTTTTAGTTATTACACTTTTGAAAAATTGAGGCATAATTTTATACAACACTTCATAAAAGTAACTTAACACCGTTCGATTTGTGGGAGGGGAAAAAATTTTGGATGGACTCTGACTTCAAACTGGCAGTACCGAGCTTCTTGAATAAATTTAACATTGCAGATGCCATCAGCTATGCTAGAGGTGCATGGAATGAAGTGCCCCAATCAACATTAAATGCAGGCTGGGAAAAGCTATGACCTTCTGTAGTTAACCCTTTGACTGTCGCAACCCCCAATCCTGAGGTGTCTCCTGGCGTCGCAAAATTTAAAAAAAAAAAAAATATTTTTTCTTATGAAATGATAGAGAATCTTTTCCCGATTGTAATCACACCAAAAAAAAAACGAAATTTGATGGAAAACTGACGGAATTATGCTCTCGCGAAGTTAGCGACCTCGACGATATTTACAAATCGGCGATTTCGCCCACTTTGAGCCCTATTTTCGGCTAATTCCATTATTCCAGTTGACCAAACTCATAGCTATTTCTTTAGAACTCCATTTTTTCTATTGATTGAGTACAAGAAACTGCCCATTTACCAATTTCAACTACCCAATAATGTGGTCAGAAATTTGCAATTTGGCCAATTTCACGAAAATTAAAAAATATGACAATTTCAAAATAAGGTCCAGAATGAACAGTGCAGACATTCCTGGCTCTAAAATAACATTTTCTTTGTTCATCAGCCATGTCTCCAGGCCCCTCTGATATTACTCTTGCTTTCTATTTTGAATTTTTATTCAAACAAAAAATAGAAGACTTACTATTATGCAGACTACTGCAATACTGTAATAATTGTATAAATAACATCAACCCATTCATGACTGCATATTAGAATGGCTAGTTGGACATTTATTGGACAATGACATCATTTGTTTACTTTTGAACATTGGCAAAAATCAAACATTTCCCCTACTTTGAGCTCCATTTCCAGGTTCTTTTTATAGTAAAATCAATCAAAATCACCTCTGCTTCTATAATATGTTTTCCATTCTATCAAATGAGGCCAAGAAAACGAGAATACAACCATAAATACTATACGAAAATAGACCACAAAGTCGGCATTTTAATTAAAAAAATGGTCGGAGATTTTTTTTTCTCATTATGCACTGCGTGCTCCAGGATTTTTTTTTATATGGTGCACACTGACCCCACAGACCCATTCTCTCACATGTGGGCCTACCAGCTTTCTCCTGCTTGATTTGAAGCCGCTAGAATTTATGAGTATATATACGTCAAACACAGTACCTCGTAAGACGTATATATACGGCCGCGACAGTCAAAGGGTTAATTCTTTCACTGTTTTTTCCCTTCCTTGAGAGTCAGGTTCAGGAAATTGTTCAGCTGGCAAGAAGATTACTAGGTGATGGTTTTGAAAATATGAAGGAAGAAGATGATGTGAATGAGCTCTTAGAAGATGATGATGATGATGAAGACACGAGTCCAGAGGAAATGTTGCCAGAGCTCAGTGCACAGATACAAGGGAGCCAGATAAGAGAAGAAAAAGATGAAGAAGAAGAACCTGAAGAAAAACAGTTAACATTGCAACAGTTTTGTTGCTGCTAAACTAGCAGACTTTTTCGCTGAAGAGGACTCTGACAAATCTAGAGGCAGTGCTCTGAAATGGGATCTAGAGCAGCTGATGATGATTTCTTCATGAATGAGCCTCAAAACTCCATCAATGTATGCCAGATTTCCGACATTACCCTAACTCCGATAGACTTTGAAAAAGCCACTGACAACATGCCCATGCACTCAGCCCCAGGCCCAGACTCATGGAACTCTGTGTTCATTAAGAACTGCAAGAAACCCCTTTCACATGCCCTAAGTATACTGTGGAGAAGGAGCTTAGACATGGGTGAAATTCCACAGTCACTTATAACAACGGATATAGCCCCACTCCATAGAAGTGGCAGCAAAGCATTAGCTAAGAACTATACACCAGTAGTTCTAACGTCCCACATTATAAAAATCTTTGAAAGAGTGCTAAGAAGCATGGTTGCAAACCACCTGGATTCCCAAAAACTACACAATCCAGGGCAGCATGGGTTTAGGGCAGGTCACTCCTGCCTATTGCAACTACTGGATCACTATGAGATGGTCTTGGATGCACCGGAAGAAAAACAAAATGCAGACGTAATATACACAGACTTTGCAAAAGCATTTAACAAGTGCGATCATGACGTAATAGCGCACAAAATACGTGCTCATATCAGACATAGAGATGTAATCCACAGCACCGTGTCATCCTTTGCAGACGATACTAGGATCTGCATGAGACTGTCATCTATTGAGAACACGGTTAACCTCCAAGAAGATATAAACCACGTTTTCCAGTGGGCAACAGAAAACAATATGATGTTCAATGAGGACAAATTCCAACTACTCCATTATGGGAAACTGGAGGAGATAATAACTAGAACAAGGTATACTACAAACTCTGGCCATACAGTAGAGCAGAAAAATAATGTAAGGGACCTGGGAGTGGTAATGTCTGAGAATCTCAATTTCAAGGATCACAACAGTGCCACGATCACAAGTGCAAAGAAAATGATAGGATGGATAATGAGAACATTCAAAACAAGAAATGCCAAGCCAATGATGATCCTTTTCAAATTATTTGTTCACTCTAGGCTGGAATACTGCTGTACATTAACATTTCCATTCAAAGCAGGTGAAATTGCAGATCTTTGAGGTATCTGTGGAGACAAGAAATGTTATCAATGGAGGCAAAGAAGGAAATGTATGAGAGTATAGTGGTACCAACACTCTTATATGGGTGTGAAGCATGGGTTGTGAATGTTGCAGTGAGAAGGAGACTGGAGGCAGTGGAGATGTCGTGTCTAAGGGCAGTGTATGGCGTAACTATTTGCAGAAATTTCATAGTGCAGAAATTAGGAGGAAGTGTGATGTTACTAAAAGTATTATTCAGAAGGCTGAGGAGGGGTTGTTAAGGTGGTTTGGTCATTTAGAGATGGAGCAAAATAGGATGACTTGGAGGGTGTATAAATCTGTAATGGAGAGAAGGAGGGGTAGGAGTCATCCTAGGAAAGGATGAAGGAAAGGAGTAAAAGAGGTTTTGTGTGTAAGGGGCTTGGACATACAGGGCATGTGTGAGCATGTTAGAGAGGAGTGAATGGAGACAAATAGTCTTTGGGACTTGCCGAACTGTTGGAGTGTGAGCAAGGTAATATTTTGTGAAGGGATTCAGGGAAACTGGTCTTGAAGGTGGGAAGTACAAAGCCTGCACTTTAAAGGAGGGGTTTGGGATATTTACTGTTTAGCATGACATCTAAACTATAGTACTTGTGCGCCTCTGCAAAGACAGCAATAGCGTGAATGATGATAAAAGTTTCTTTTTTTTTGGGGGGGGGGGGTCACTGGTTTCCCTGAATCCCTTCATAAATGTTACCTTGCTCATGCTCCAACAGTATACCTTCACTCACTTCTATTTAACATGCTCACCCAAGCCTGTTGAATGTTCGAACTCCTTAGCATTCAAAACCTACTTTAGCCCTTCCCTCCAGCCTTTCCTAGACTGACTCCTGCTTCTCCTTCCTTCCGTCTCAGATTTATATGCCCTCCAATTCATCCTATTTTTCTCAGTACACTATAATATCTAAACCACCTTAACCTCTCCAGTTTCTTCTGAATAATATATTTGATAAACCCACACCTCCTAATCTCCTGACGCTGAATTCTCTACAATATTCACACACATGTTGAATTGTCCTGTATGTATAGTACTGTATTTCATGGCTTATTAGGCGCATTATTTTTTCCATAAAATGTCTCCAAGAACCATCCTGCGTAATATAAAACTGAAGGTCAGTGATAGGAGCTATAAGTTTGGGGTGTGGAGATACGTCCGATGCCGAGCCACTGAAACTAAAACAAGCCTTATAAGCCGCGAAATACGGTATGCACATTAGTTAGTGTGGCTGTTCCATATGCTGTGTAAATTTATATGTGAAAAGTAGAGGTATGGATTGTCTGAAACCTGATAGTTTTATCATTCTAATAGCAGCTTTTTATTGTAGATCCCTAAGCACAAATACCATAAGTGAAGTAAGGATAGATTTGAGAGTACATAGTATAGAGTGAATAATGATGTTTGAGGCACATACTTATGACTTTTGGAAAAGATACTGTTGAGGAGGCCTGAGATATATGCTGTATGTGTGTGCTGAATTTTAAATTACTGTCAAGGTGTATATCTAAAACATTTTCCTTAATCTTGTTTTTTAATGTGTGTATTATTTAGAGTAAATACCCTTATTTTCAGTTGTATAGCTTAAGCTTTATTCCCAAACACTGTGCATAATTTCTTTTGTTATTAATGAATGGGAGTTTGTTGATTGTCTTCCAAGTAGGTAGTTTCACAAACTAATTGTTAACAAACTAGCAGAATTTAAGTTTAAGCTTCTGAGAGACCTTAGGAAAGTCATTGATGTAGTTAAGAAACAGTAGAGGACCAAGGTCATTGTCCGTAGGTACTCCAGTACTGATTGGTTGAGTAGATGAGGTAGTGTCATTCATGGTCACGTGTTAGTGTTTGTCATTAAAGTAGGAGAGCATGTGAAAGAATGGTCATTGATCCTCTAATGCTCTGCTTTAAGTAGCAGGATGTTGTAGTTATCTTCTAAATTTCTTCCCATTTGCATTTTTTAATGCATTAGTGTCTCCT